AAAAAAAAAAAAAAAAAAAAAAAAAAAGAAAGAAAGAAATAATTAAAAATGAAATGAAAACAACTGCGGAAGTATTATCTTCAAAAAAAATCTTTAATGCAAAAAAAAATAAATTCTTATTGTCTTGAATTTAATGAAAAAAAAATACAATGAATAAAAGCGTAGATACTGTTGAAATAAAAACCATCAACCAAACTTTTTCTTTTTTAGAAAAGAAAAATAACAAGTTGAACAATTTGTAATGCCACATAGCACTCAAAAAAAAGAAGATGAAGATGAGGAAAAAGCCTTTGAGGATTCATACTCCTACTGGATAGTTGGCATTGTTTTAATGTTTAAAAAAAAGAGAATGAAATTGTTTAGAATAAAAGTATTCTTTGAATAGAAGTTTTTTCAAAAAATAGAACTTGTTTTCAGATGCATAGAAAAAACGTAGTTTTATTGGAACTATAGAGACATTATAGCTCTTCATCCTCATCTTTTGTTCGTTTGCCAGTTCACTGACAACACCATTTAGCTTGTTAGCTTATATGGTATAATGTTAGCCAAAACACCGAAATAACTGTCAAACATATTTATAAATTTCAACAAAAACAATTTAGAAAACTTATTAAAAATAGCTTAAATCTTTTTTTTTAACTTTACATTTATACGTTGAATATATTTTTGTGGTCAACTAAGCTATCATTTAAATGCATCTCAATTTGCTGAACGAACTTAGTTGGCAACCTAAACTAATGTACCGGCCTTGCGCTGATCGCTTTTTGAAGAAAAGACAGCAGCCGACGTTCATTCACCGTTTTTTTCGGCTATGTTCACCGAACTCTTTCAATTTGGCTTTACTTTTTTAATTGTTTTTATACTACAAAAATCATACAATTAGTTAGTCTTCCTTCGTCTTCACTGAAACCTTATTATCCTGCTGCTGTTTCAACTTTTTGTTTCTGAAGATAAAAATTTCTTATTTTTTACTCGCATTATTTTTTCTATTTTTTTCTCTGGTTTTTCGTATATTGCAGACGATAAATTTTAAGATTAACAGTTATTAACAGACATTTGTTTTTAGCTGTTTCTTACACAATACGTTTTATTCACTTTTTCGCTTTGTCATTGCTTCTTTTTTTTCTTTTTTTATCATTTAAATATGTCATTCGGATTATCACTGATAAAGGCAATATTTTAAATTAAAGTTTATTGCCATAATCAATGTCCCAAAAAATAGAAAAAGAGTGGGGAAGAAATAAAGAGGCAAAAAAAAGAAGGAAGCTGAATAACAGTAAAACTCATTCGAAGATGTCAGTAATCAACTTTTATAAAGTTTTTCAGTTTGAAAACAAAGACCGGTATAGAGTATGCAGATGAAGATAAAGTAGTCTTTCTTCTAGAGAATAGTTATAAAGTTTTATTTGGCTTTTTTTTCTTCATTTTTTACATACCGGCCTTTTAAGCGTTCTGTTTAATAGGTGGTCAATAGCATATTGACGTTACTAAATTTGAATTTTATTTTTTTTTCTCTACTTTTTCGACATCTATCAAGAACCAATATTTCAATTCAAATAAACTTATGAGATCTGATGCTGCAGCTAGATATTGCTGTTTCTAACTAGCCACCTATCGTCTCTAATTAATTCTCTTCAAATCGGTATATTTTGAAGAGTAATTAGAGAAGAAAAAGGCGTTTTTTTGCTTTCTCGTAGAAATTTTTATCGATACTTTTTTACATCTATTTCCCAACAAAATCGAAATCAGAATTGCAAAATTAAGGCGAAAATCAAACGAAAGTTTACTGCTGACTTGGTGTTTTTGGCAGTCCCGATATTTTTGTTGCACAAACATAAAGGCCCAGACACCGACAACTTTGCCATTCAATTGTTTTTGCTGAAGAGTTTCAAAGTTGTTTGCTTGTCAAAATAGGAATTGCTCTATAACACAGAACCGCTAAGCAGCCAAACATAATATTACTTTTCTACCTCATAAACATACGAAAAAATAATGAATCGGAATGTTAATAAACGTCTAATTAAATAACTAAGTTTTAACTTGACTAAAGCCACCCATTCAGGACAAGACAGCAATAATGACAAGTTTGTGACGCTAATTATCGTAATAAGTGAGGTTCTTTTTCAAAGCGAATAATAACGTCACTTTTACACTTTTTATGTTTATTTCAACTGTTGTGAATAAATAAAGTTATAATAGATACTTTACACAATTCTGTATATGTAGAAAGTTAAGAGATCAAAATTAATGAGCTAAAGCAATAACTTTTTTAGGCCCAAAAAGTCATCACTCAGTATTCAAAGATATTGACTTTTTTCTTTTTGAATTTTTTGCTAGCTTTTGTTGTTGTTGTTGAACAATCGACTCTTTTTTTTTAATATGATGAATTTAAGCTTATCAAAAAAAATTAGCTTTAGAATTTGTCATAAGCTCTTCTCTTTGGCTTTTTCATCTGAATAGAAAAGCGTAAACTTGACCATGATGAATTATTGATTGTCACTTCTTACAGGCAGAGACCATATCAAAAGCTTTAAAAAAAATTGTTTTCCTTCATTTTTTTATTTCTTAGTGATTGTCATATAAAAAAATTAAAATTTTTTTTTTCTTTTGTTCTCTACTTTTCTTTTTTATCTTGAGTAATACCAAAAGCTTTGAACTTATTGAGAAGTAAAAAAACAGAGTAAGAAAAAAGTGGTTTCTGCTCTGATTTTAAATTTTATAATTTAGTTTAGTTCTTTTAGCTATTTCGCACATTTCAACGCTAACATAATAGAAGGCTTTATAAAGATTGATAAAATCAAACAAACTGCACAAGAGGTTATAAATAGTTTTCCTTACTAAGTGGCTGTCTTATTA